TGATAACTTGACCCAGTTGATGTTAAAATATCGTTTTGAGTCAAATGCTATATACAATGTTGATGAAACCGGTATCAGTACAGTTCAAAGAAATTCTAAAATACTAGCTCCCAGAGGAATGAAACAGGTGGGCAAATGCACGAGTGGTGAACGTGGTAGCTTAACAACTGTTATTAATGCATGTAATGCTGCTGGTAGTTATGTTCCACCGTTCTTTATTTTTAAGAGAAAAAGGATGAATCCATTGTTAATGAAGCAAAGTAACAGTAACATGGTGGCATCTGTATCCGACTCTGGGTGGATCTCCGAACAGCTATTTGTAGATTGGCTTCATCATTTTAAAAGTTTTGCCCGACCCGCTGAGGATAATATTATTTTACTAATTTTGGACAATCATGAGAGCCACATTAGCTTAGCAGCATACGAATTTTGTAAAAAGAACTATATACACGTATTGACACTGCCTCCACATGCGTCCCACCGCATGCAGCCTCTTGATTTGACTGTCCACGGCCCGCTAAAGACTGCTTATAACAAAGAGTGTGAATCATTCATGGTTAACAAACCAGGAGCTAAAATAACAACATTTGATGTTGTTGGTCTGTATACGAAGGCATTTAATCGGACAACAAATATAGAAAAAGCCATGAACGGCTTCAAAGCAGCAGGCATTTATCCCCTGGACAAAGACAAGTTTAAAACAACATTTGAGAATCTTGCTGATACAACAGACCCTAGCACAATATCTGTTGCACCAAGATCAGTTGCTTCTCAAGACCCGAATCAATCGACAATTGATCTACAAACGCCAGTCGCACGAGATGTGTCTATAACAATTTCTCATCGAAACTTAGGCGATCAATCTGATACATCCTGTGAGTCTCTAGATGGAAATGAATCTCCATCTCTTTTATTGCCTTCTGATTTGAACGAGACTGATATTCAGGCTGGAAAGACTAACGATTTACCATTACCTGTTCTGGAAGACACGGTCCACCCTACCATTGCAAATCTGAATGCATCAATTCCATTGTCTGATATTATAAATATGCCTTCTCTTCAAACTCCTCTTAAAAATAAGACACGATCACAAAAAACGAAGCATTCCATAATATTAACTAGTACTCCAGAAAAAGAGGAATTGGAGAAGAAAGAGAAGAGAAAAATAGAAAGAACAAAGAAAAAGACTGATAAGGAAGATCCAGTAGTAGGAAAAAAGAAGACAAAGACTGATATAATAAAAAAAAGTATAAAGAAGCGTAAAAATACTAAAACGAAAGCTAAGAAAGGAGTAAAAAATTTTAAGAATTTTGAAGATAGCGCCAATGAGGAAGAATATTATTGTATTATTTGTGCTGAGAAGTATATTTCACCCCCTACAGAAGACTGGATAATGTGCATTACATGCCAAAAATGGGCACATGAGAATTGTACGGGACCTAGTACCTCCAGAGGGTACATTTGTGATTTTTGTAAAGAATAATTTTGTTATTCGTAATTATCCGGTGTCCGGATTAACCCCGCGAGGTCCGGGTAATTACGGACACGAATGTTTTTGATTATTGCATTTATTTTATACTAAATGATTAGAAGAGGTTAAATTGTTATGTTAATTTTGTAAGGTAATAACCAAAGTTTAATTTAAATAAAACAGAGACTGATTACTCCTAATGGTCTGGTTTATATTATCGTTTGAAGTTAAGTGTCTGTAATTCCCCCTCTTTCCCCTACTCCTTCTTCGTTAACTGTCCTTACTATAGAAAAGCAAAAGTAACTTGGTCTAAAACTATTTAGATTAAATTTTGTATTGAAAGAATCGAGAGCCCTAAATAAGAAAAAGATTTTATACCGGAAACCTACGAAGGAACGAAAAGACGGATTGAAATTTGTATGGGGGAATAATTTATTTATTTACATTTTTATACGAAGAATGTATATAAGCACTTAAAACAATTGTCTATTATATCAATTTAACTTGGAGCAAATACGACTTTAAAGAATCGAATAATTATTCTTATAGATACATATAAATTCAAAACTAATATGTCCGACTTCAAATGAAGTTTGAATTTGAAAAGTATGATATATTGTACATTTGTTTCTTTTTAAAAATAAACATCTTTATTTTACAGTTCCTTTGTGGCAACCACATAGTCCAGATTATTTAGGCGGTGTATTTAATTTCGAGAAAGTTTTAATCCCGTTAATTAATTTCAAGATTATACTATTTCTAATAAAAAACGTGCTAGAAAAGAAAATAGTCAAATTGAAAATGAATATATTTTTGAAGTTGGTTATAAATAAACTATCAATCTACTGTAATAATATAATACCACGCAATCGATGTTGCGGGCAAAAGCTAGTATATTATAAATTACACACAAAATCTTTTCAATTAAAGAGCTGTAAGTATAAAAGTCGAAAAAAAAACAATTGTGAGTATAAAAGTCGTCAATTGTGATCAATGTCAATTATGACTTATATTTTAGTCTATTTATTTGGTAAATGTCTGCTAATCTCTCAATTATATGATAGTTACGCTCTCACGCCTAAACCACTAAGTCCATTTGAGTTGAGATAGGACATAGGTTGCTTTTTATGGTGATAAAAATGTTGAAACTTTATAATCAGGTATTTTAAATAATAAAGTGGATAACTATTTGTTTTAGCGTTTTTAAAAATGCTGTCCAAAGTAACTATACCACGCGGATAAGTCGCGCAAAAGCTAGTATATTAATAAATCTATGAAAATACTAGGTGACAGTGGAACTCCTCGTTTCACAACTCTTATATATTTAAGTAGTCGTTCTTTCTTGTCAGAGTGTTTGTGTGTTTATGGTTTCATGATGATGGCTCTGACTTGTATAATGCTGCCCTTCCGATTCATCTCCACCGTGCGATCGCTTGTCTTCTATTATATATATTTAATTTTTATTTTTTATTATTTTTTTTTATTATTGTATTTTGTATCCTAAAACTGTATCTTATTTGTCTCATGCTTGTACCAGAATAAATAATTCATTCATTCACTTGCCCTTGAATAACGAGCCGTTCCATGGAGTTTTGGTTACGAATAAATCCACAATATTTGAGGATTGAATGAGCGAACGCTGTCCAAGGGATTCGCAGCAACCGCAGTCAGGACCACATTTGAATGGCATCGATTTTGCGTCCAGGTTTCTGCGGTATAAAAATATTAGGAAGCTTTTCATCAGGCGAACTTTCATGGTTTTGGTGATGTCGCCAGAGTTTCTTCAGTTTATCAATGGTAGATTTTGTGATTGCTATTCTGTAAGAATACAAAGTCAAATACAACGTCGATCACAGCGTCGCTGATCAGTTTTTTAGGTTCTGGTAAATAAAACTTTCATTACCTTTTATAGTTGGTTTTATTTGCTTGAATGCAGCGATCAACACTGCATTTGCTGGACTTTATATGAAAGACCTCTGATCTCTCTCTGGTTTCATCTACCGAGTTGGTAAGAATATATATATTTTTTTTTAATGATAAATATATTTCTGATTTTTACAATAAGCTGATTATTAATTTACTTATACCTATACACTCCCTTTTCGGGTAATTTATTGTTCTTATTTAAAATTATTTTGTCATATTATACCATAGTAAAGTAATACGGCTATTGCTTTGAGTCACTGACTGATACACAAATGTATAGTTTTATTTTTCTCTTGAGGTAAGGAGTACTAAAAAAATATAGCAACTTAATTAAATACTCTTAATGAATAATGCTTAAAACATGACCTTTCACAATCCGAACGACTGCCCTAACCACTGAGCTACCCAGGACCTAACAGGACTGACGTTAAGCCAAATGTAAAACAGAATTAAACAATAAACAAGAAATTTAAAACGGTAAAGTGGAATAAATAAAGAAATAAAAATAATAGAATAAGCAGTACAGCATGTAAAATAAAGATACAAATTGAAGAAATAAAAATGTAAAATAAGAACATATACAATAAAAATTATAATTGCACAAATAAAAATCCCATATCCCATAGAAAAATAAGATAAATAAAAAGTAGAATAGGATAAAGCAGTAGAATAGGCGGGTAATCCCCCCGTTAAAGTATAAAAGATGATGAATGAATGTGTCGTATGCAGTATGTCAGTGTGATAGGTAAAATTGCGAGAACTTGTATGCATGATAAACATAGAAAAACAAGGGCCTGCTAAAAAGTGGGGACAAGTGTAGGGACTGACCTGTATTGTAGGACGGGTTTAAAAAAAAATATATAAAACAGGACTGACGAATTTTTCAAGAACTTGTTACTTTTTCGCTACTACATAGCGTATTTTATCACTGATCAGACAATCCACCGAAATATTAAGAATATTTTGTAAATTGAAAAAATACATTTCAATGTGTTAGCAAAAAAGGAATGAATACCTTAATAGGTATTTAGTAAATAATTAGGATGTAAATATATAACTAATTGAGAATTTTTCAAAATTTTCTAAGATTTCTTAAAAAAAAGAATTTAATAGCGAAAAACTATTAAAGAAAATGTCTTGTAAGTATTTACTTAGATACCCACTAAAACTCCTCTTTCATTTGAATTCGTATAAACATAAGATATAATAATTTGTAATTTGATAAGTAAAAATTTACTTTAAGTTTAATTTATTAGTTTAACTACAGCTAAACATAACTGCGAGCGTTGTGTGGGACTCTCACAGACAAAGTAGGAAGACAATCCTGGCAAGGTGGCTGGCAGAAACAGAGAGGCCTATGTCCAGCAGTGGACGAATACGGGCTGATGATAATGATGATTAAACATAAATTATCAATATAGGCAATCATTTGAGCAAACGAACATCAGATCGACTTCATTAAGGCGTACATTATTTTTGTAGTAATTAAGCAAATTAAATTCGAGAGCGCGCTGTTCGGGGCGCGCGGCGGGGTCCCTATTTAGGGCGGAGTCCGGAGCGCACGGTCTCGCTATTGGCTTCAGTCGCGTCCGCCTCCAATATCTCAGAAAGCCCCACCCGCCTCCGCCGGCGGCGTCAGCGGTGCACGCAACCAGCTCGCTCAGTCTCGATCGCTACGGTCCGTGAAGTGTGTCTCGTAACCGTGACGACCGATAGTGTTGTGAAGACGAGTGAATGTGCGATGCTCGGACGGTGATCGAAGCATGGTGAATTACGTCAATCCGCTCGCCATGTACCAAGGCAAGGGCGGGCAGTACGGCGGCAGCTGGTATGGCTGGCAACATCAAAACTTTGAGGAGCAGCAATGGTGCGCTTGGAACGGGGCGCCGACGGCTGGAGGAGAATGGGCGCCCGATCCACACCATTTCCCTAAAAGAGAACCGGGAGATAGGGAAATTACGGATATCCCGTCACCTGCACGAGGCGATCTGGCCAGCCCTGGAGAAGGCTCGCCCGGATCGAGACCAGCACAGCCGCCGGCTCCACCGCGTTCGCCGTATGAATGGATGAAAAAACCTAACTACCAGACACAACCCAACCCAGGTTTCTATGATTTCCTATTATTTTCATTAAGTTATAATTTACAAAATCGACCACAGATTCTTATAAACCTAATAACATAAACTCGTAAGTATTTTTGACGAGGGAAAAATAAATAGGAAACAGGCTTTATATTAAAAACTTTCTACCAAGGTATTGGTCAAAGATAATAGTCTATTTTAATTTATGATTATTAAAATTCAACCCTTGTTAGCTTACTTATATTCCTGAAGACATGGTATGTTATTGTCGTGTTGCGTAAATAAATACCTACCCCCATTTTAAATAATATTTTTGATAATTGTTTTTTTTTTAATAAAAGGTGGGTATATAATATTTATTAACAATGTTAATCATTAAAATTTTTATAATTGTTGTATTTAAAATATTACGAGCATATAACACCCAAATACTTTTTTACATGCATAGTATAAGTAGGAAATAATTCAATAAAATCCTTGTGAGGGTTCATTTGAAGGAACGCCCTTGTCTTATTAAGTAAATAGTTTGACCTAAGAATTAATTGATGGGATAATGTTGGTTATTGATTCTAAAAACTGCCAACAAGTAGTTAAAAATTAAATTGATAAAGACAATATATGTTTGGATAAAGCAGCTTGTTTATTCATAATAAATTACATTCATTAGGTTCATTAAATTTATAATTATATAGTCTTTCTTGGGATTTAAGAATATAGAAAAAGATTACTCTTTTTACAGTTATCCAAGTCCGTTACCAATTAAGATAATCTAATCCAAATTAGTTTTTAAATATTTTGATTTTGGTTTTAAAGAAGTAAAAGAGCTTAAACTGCGTAGGTGTACACATAATATTACATTACTGTTACATATCATGCAATATTAGTGTATCACTTGATTTATGTTTCTTTATATGTAACCCGAATAAAATTGTTAGGGAAAGAGGAATTACAAAGTTTTTCGAAAACCCGCCGCGAAGAACGTGAACGGGACCATTTCAAACAATGTATTTAGAACTTTTGATTTTTTTTACAAATTACGTGTCATCAAGACCTCAGTCTTAAAAACTGATAAGTATAACAAAAGATAATGAAGTGGAATACGTTGGTATAGGTATCAGAGCAGGCTCAATGAAATTTGGTGCCCTAGGTAAAACACTGAGACTTGATGCCTTAGGCAAAACACTGGAACACCACCCAAAAAAAAAATTAAAGATTAATGTAAGCCCACCAATTAAAGAGTGTTATTTTGCCAATGACATAAGTAACTCCTTATATACATACATTCCCATGTAATGCCTAAAAATGTTATACTTTTTAAAAACCACGGATATGGACTCATGTTCAAAGAACAAAAGTATTTTTTAAGGCACAAATAATAAGAATAAACATTATCTGTTTGCTATGTCATTCCTCCCCCCAAATACGAGTGCCCTAGGCAGTAGCCTAGTTTGCCTATATGGGCGGACCGGCCAGGCTTACCAACTTAGGGCTTTTAGCCCCAAATTTAGGGCGAAAATAAACTAATTGGGATTTTTTGAGGCTCAAGATAATTTAGAGCTAATTTTAGTGCAAAAAATTTAATAAATTGTTAAAAAAAAATCTGGTAATATCTAAATCACCCATTAAATCTTTTTATTTGTTTTAAAATAGTTTAATAAACATCGTTCCAACATACAAAAGAATTTTGTTTTCTCTTCGAATTCGACCATTCACAAAATGTTAAATTATTTGACAAAACAGGTACTAATTGTGCATTATATGGAAGTAAATGTTTAACTGGACGTGCGTGTATATCTGTGGGCTATCTACGCATATTTATATGGCTTTAATATGACATTTTCTAATCTATTTGCATTTTCTGTAGTTTTAATTTAATTTCTGGGCATAATGCGACGTGTACTACCGCCTACCGGGCGATGCAGTTCAAAAGACCCAACCGAATCTCGATGTTAAAATTAAAAAAGTTTATAAATCCAAATACTTCACGCAACGTAAACTATGTCTTTTTGTTCTTAATTGATAAAACGGGACAACGATCACAAAAAACTCAATTAACTGATGATCTTTTCTATAATTTAATTTTTTTATTTTAAAAAGTATGACATAAGAATTTGTTTCTGTGGTTACGACATTATAAGGACTTGAATAGCGACATTATAAGAAATCGGTTGCTTTGTACTCATGGGTGATCAAATGTAATTCTTTTTTTTAATATTCGTTAAGTCCGGTAAAGACGCGTGTTGTTACTTATTTGGATGATTGAAAATATAAAGTAATTACATCAAAGTACTTATTACCGTCAATCTGTTTTAATATAATATATTTTATATGTAATTAATTTTTAGATACTTATGTATTAACTATGTTTGTTGCTAGGTACTATATTTTGTTATTTCCAAAAAAGTATATAGTTTTCTATAGATACCTATGTGTAGAGCGTTTATAAGTTACAATCGATGTATTTGATGCCCGCGGCATAGTGAAGTCATCGTCATTCTTTTTGTTGAATATTGATCGATAAGGTTTTACCTCAAGTCCTTGTCCATCGCGCCCTGCTATGAAATAAATAGAGACAGAGGATGGCGAATTTTGGGGCAAAAACGGTTCTTATTTTTAATGAATTACTCGCAAAATACCTATCACAATATTGTAAAATTGCTGCGTTAGCCCTTATGTGTTTGTTCTATTGATTTTTTTATTCCACGTATTAACTGAGACAGTCCATACGAATAACATATTCGTAATTATCTTATTTTTTATTTATTTGAATATTTTTTTTTACATTTATTGTTCTGTATCAAGGGCACATAAATATTTTATATACAAAGGGTATTGGTTGCATTCCATCGGTTTTAACTTACTCTATTTTGAATTGATGAATTTTGATGCTAATATGATGTTACATACCTACTACTGAAAGTAGTATTGCACCTACGTACGATTCAAAGTTTTTGTAGAATCTGGCTAACGATGTTGTTATAAATACTAACCTGTTTGCTGCCGAACAACAGTTTAAGTGAATTGTCATTATATAATTTTACTATTATGAGAAATTACTGTTATATGAACTCAGTTAAATTGCACATTATAAAATTTTATGATAGGCCATACAACAATTTACAAACAAACGAAGTAGATACACTCCATCAGCGGATATCATTGTCATTTACAATACACTTGTAAACAGTAAGTACATACAATATTACCAATTTCATACGGTAAATTGTTATATTTGCATATGATAATAAAAATATAACCATCTCATTAAAAATATATATATAGGGTTACTATAAAATGTTCTTTGATTGTAAATATTCTATAACGTTATTCTTACTTATCCATTCTAAAAAAATATTTGGCTATTTAATCTCATCAGCAATAAAAATAGAACATTGCGCATGAAAATCCAAATGCAGTTAATGACTCGTGAAGATAAAACTTATGTTTATTTTCACGGTGGATAGTTAGTGGAGCTTAGAAATTGTTGTTTCTCTAGTAGTATTTATATAAAACAGTGTATTATAAAAATATATATTTACATAAACTTATTTTAAGGAAAAATATATATAGTAAAGTTTTTATAGTATTGTGCTCAAAAATCGTATGGTTACATTCCTGGGTCTCTTCACCTAATTATCCAATGGGTGTCAGGAAATGATGTTATTGAATCTATTATTTTTCACATTTCATTGATGTGCCGCGATAAATAGAATAGTTATATACAATGTTCTAGTGCCTAAGTGCAAATACATGTAGATCAATTCTATCAACAGTCATAACTATCTAATAATAACAAAATTATGATTTACTAAGACGTAGTCTAAAATTCACGACAAGGCATTTATTGTTTTAATTATTGATCTTTTTTTATTTAATCCCCTCAGGTAAAAAAGTTAACAGATTTTAATACAATATCTCCCATTAAAGAGCTCCCGAACAAGCCGGGCAATAGTGTAATAACCTTGGCCGTACTAACTCCATTCATTCATGCATTCTTCGAAGCCATTCGGGTAATTTTTAGCTCGCTGTAAATTTTTTGCGGACGAAACTAATGATCAAAATTTTTATGACCAAGACAGCATTAAATACAACTTAATAGGATTGGGACTAACACGTTTTAAAAGTCCTTAAATAAAATAAGAAAAGAAAACTTCAACAACATTTCCAAATTATATAAAAGTAACTGACCTGACAGACGTTGTCCTGTATTAAAAACGAAATTTCGCAGCACGTTATCTGCCAATTCTATGTTAAACTTCAATTCTATCCAAAGCACTATGGTTAAATAAGAAAAAGAATTATATGGTGGTTATATAATCTCAAATTTTCGAATTTTTCACACATCTTTCTTATTTATTCTTTCATAAGAAGTGTTTCTTTTTATTCAGTATCTATTTTCTATGGGATAATAAGGAAAAGAATTAGTTTATATTTATATTACAACATTTATGGCAGAACCGCGTCGCGAGACTTGTGCATATTTTTATAATCAACAGCATGCCAGGCTTTATATAACTGTCAAATTTTTCCACTTAATATTAAACCTTAATGCATGGAAGGTAGAGTTCAAAATCAAGTTAGGAAATTTGACATATTGTTGTTAATGATGTCTATGAACTAGCAGGTACAGGGACTACAAATAGGCCTAGAGCACCTTTGCGTTATTCTAAAAAATCCATGCGATGCCTTCAAAGAGATTCCAAAAAATACTGGCAGAACCAGCCGGGATTAGATCACTCTAAATCTCTAATCGAAGGCCACTCGCGAGAACAAATATACGTATATAGCTTTAACTGGACATTGCAAATTAAACAAATGTTAGTGTCACTTAAATAGGCGTCCTATTTAAGTGACACTAATATTTGCAGATATTGCTAACAGGAGCGTGAAATACCAAAACATATCTTGTGTGAATGTGGACCACTGATTCACAAACGAAGTATACATCTGGGATGACACATAATCAGCATGTATATTTTTTTATGTATGTTCACCGATATTTACGCCAATTGTTAACCAATT